AAAGGAGCACATACACAGCTGATGAATAGGAGAAGAGAGGCTTCAGAGACACAGGCAAAAGCAATATAGCAAGTATAGCCTGGAATGTTGATTTGACAATGATAATTGCTAAGCAAAAATCTGTTATTTCCCCTGTGCACTGTGTATGATGTGATCAGACACAGAGGGAACTGAATTCATCCTAGGACTAACAATGCTGATATAAGTCACTTGGCACCAGATAAATTTGGCCCTTGTACATTTCTTTGAAGTTGACCTCATTAGTACAAACAAAAGTGTTGTTCCCGAGTGACACTGAATCAGAAATTCCTTTAAGGAGGCTACCTTGTTTGGCCACCTCTTGCAGCCAGGCTACCACCCACTTAAAGAAGCCAAACGGAACACAAATTTATTTAATGCACCAGACCGCTATTTTTTTTTTAATTTCTAGGGACTAACCCTGCATAGTATAATTAAAGCCATTATAATTAGTGATTTAGTTCCTTTTGCTTTGATTTTGCTTCAGTTTATTTATTTATTTATTCATTCATTTTGGAAGGGTCTGAAAGTCATATTCAACTTTGTCATCTGCTCATGCTGGGAGCTGTGCTGTTTTTCTGGAAATGCCATAGAAATGTTGGCAACGAGGTGCCAAAATCAGCAAGCAATATTCAACAATTTAAGGGCTGGTTCAAGTATAAAGGCAGTTTGTATTTCTGCACCACAGGCAATTCTGCAAAGTCCTTGGGGAAGAGAGAAATATGTTTTCTTCTTAGTGATTGGTCTTTCAGAGCTAACAAGTTAGAATGAATGGGAAGCATTTTTCAAAGAGTAAAATCCAAATAAAAGGTAAACAGAAAAGCAGGTGGTTTTTGTTTGTTTCGTTTTGTATTTTTAATCACACTTTTCAGATGTAGAACTGAAAGAATTCCTACAAGGACAAGGTATACTCAAACAATTGCAACTGGGTTCACAATGTCTAAAGTTTAGCCAACCCCTTTTACTTCACATTAACAATCAACCAGGAACACGTACGTGGCCTGCTTGTGTGTCTCATCTTCAGGTAGCCTCTTCAGGCAGACCACTTCAGTTGCTAGCAACCATATAAGTGTATCTAGAGATCACTATGTGGAGAGACATACAAGTATCAGGCTAGCTAGCCAGATTATTATTTCTGCTTGATGAGGAAGCTAACATTCAAAGATGCTGAGATCCACTTTTTCAAAAGCATCCTCTCACTGCAAGCGTTCCAAGCTTCAAGTGTCCGACGTAAAGTAACCGATTTACACGTATTTACAGAGGGAACAGTGAACATAACTTTCTCCATCTGAAGTCAATGGTGGCTGCAGGTTATTAGCACCTTTAAAAAACTGAGCTGGGTCGATAAATCTCAAAGGGTTTATCTGAGGTCACACAGAGGGGCTGAAAGTGCCCCAGATCAAATTGTTTGCACTTCATCTAAGCAGTGACAGTAACAACTGAAGCATCCAGAAAAGGCTAAGGGGATACAGAAAACAGAGAGGAAAAGAAGGTCATCTCTGAACTTCTCCAGGCCCTTTAGGGGCCTCAAAGGAAATGTCTTGACTTCTCCTGCTTCCCTTCCTCTTCCTCGTCCCACCTCTATTCTTAGCAGCTTTGTCTGAGAGCTGGGAACAGAACAAGGTCTCTTAGTTCCTCACCTCCTATTACCTCATATTTTGACTCCGACCACTTAGAGCGGTGACAGAGATTTTATCCTTGCATGGAGCTGTTGTTTTTGTTTATACTTTGAATACTACTCTTTCCCATTGAGATAGGATTTCCTCAGCTACTTAGACATGCTATAGGCATGAGATCAATCTCTTTTGGTATCAGTGATTTAATTCCTCCAAACAACGCTAAAATGCACTGGACTTGCTCTGCCTCGCCCAGATCTTAAGCTTTGTACTTGCTAGAGAGCACTCAGTGCCAAAGAGTTACCTACGTCATGCTCCATAAATCCTGCTGTTGGCATGATACAAGAAAATGACACCAGAATATGCAGGTCTTTTCTCTATACTGCATCAACAAGACCACTTAATTACATCTTATGATGAAACTGGCTCAACAAGTTGGGCAGCTTGCAAAGCTGCTTGCTGGGGAAATTGCACCTGCCTTGCTGTGAGCAGGCAGCAATAGAAGACACCCAATGCCCAGCTCTCCTGTTGGGAGTGACCTCCTGCCCCAAAAAGAAGTAAGTGGAAAACACTGCCATCCTCCCTCCTTAGCCCCATTAATATCTACTCTATCTACCCCATCTAATCACTATGACATCTGAGTGCCTTTGTGTGTCAGCTTCCTGCGAAGTAATCACCTAAATCCCTCTTCCAAACAAAACAGACCCTGTGAGGAACTCACAATAGGTGCCTTTCACTTGCATGACAACCTTGGCCTCAGTGGCACTCATAACAAAGCTTCCATATGTGCACCAGGATGGGCTGATCAGTCAGATCAACACCACACAGGATCAGAGTCTGGATATGCGAGCACTAAGCAAAAGACCTTTGCAAAATTTCCTATCCTCCTGACAAATCGTTTTAAAAAAAAATGCTACAGCACAGTAGTCCACCACAGCCCTTATCCACCTCTGCGGGCCTGTTTGAGGAGATAAAAGAAAAGCACTAGTTCTGAAGGGCAATGTCTGTCAGTTGGCCCTATTCTCAGAGAGTATCTACCCATTGTTTGCTGTTCAACCCCAGGCCAGTGCTACTTTTTAATTCTTCCATTGGCAGATATCCTGTTTTTTCTCCCTAGGGTAGGGATCAAGGATGATAAGTTCTATTTTAATAGAAGCTAAGTCAACGATAACCTTTGGACATCTGCAGTGAAAAGGTATTTCTATAGCCCTAGCTGGGATTAGATACATAATGGATCAATGAAAGATCCCGCCGTTTGGCTATTATAGCATCACTCATTAATGTTAAGATTTCAACCTGAAA